TTGGAACATGTGCCAGTAACTCTTTTTAATATAATATTAGCCCTAGTAATAGTAATAGTATGCACTTGAGGGTCAATGGTATTATTCCAATCGACGGTATTATTCACAGCATGCTCAACTGTATTATTTACAGCATGCGACGACGTGAACAATTGAACTGTTACAAATCACACGGGTGACTTAAGTCTTCATAACAACTTTTTTTTTATGTATTGACACATGTCCATTGTGTATTTATTGCAGGACACGTGTCAGTACACCATTTGTGGATGACTACAGATGGCTCCATAAACCGAGCTATCCGATGACTCCATATAAAGCCGTTTAATGTTATGTGTCAATGTGTGAATATCTCAAGTCAAAAGCAAACATAAATTGTGGCGGGCTGGGCATAGCCAACTTTTTTTTTTTTTTTACAAACAAGAATGGAATTACAACACGTTATTATAAAATATAAGTACTAATCGTATTTTCTATTTTAAATTTAGCCTAGTTAGTAGAGATGTGCAGTTTGTCATGGTGACCTACCAAAATAATTCCAGTTTTAGATAACTATCTTTGAATATGTGAAGTTAGTATGGAGATGAAGATGTGATAGAGAATATTTTAGATATCAGATGAAGAAGAAGGAGAAGTATCTAATTATATTGTGTATCTTGATTGATGCCCAATAATTATGTTGCCCAAGGATTGGCCGAAAGTACAATGGGCTGCCCCAATAGTTGTGTGAAAATACAAGAGAAAATTACACTCTTTGCTACTTCATCCTAACTTATTTTTAAGTTTACGAGAGGCAATATTTTTTTTTTCAGGTTTACGTTAATAACACTAATTATGGCTTGACTCTTACCAAAAATATTATTTAATTATGTTTCCTAAAAAGATGATAAATCATGTGTGAGTCGTCGTTCCCCTCTGCATATTTTTTGGAGGTCGTGTAAATCTTTTCCTTCCCTATCTCACGCAAATCTCTATGTCATCTTCTCCAAACCTCCAAGATTCACCATTGTCACTTCAAATTATCTCTAAAAAAATCATAATTCTTGCTAACACTCTTCCCACAATTATCTTACCAAATTTCTCTGTTACATCTATCATCTTCATACACCAAGCAGAAAACCCTATTTATTTATTGCACGAGGCTCGTCAATGACGA